TGTAGACAATTGGACAACCCCTTACAGAAGGGTCACAGGAAGAGATGCGCCAGTAAGGGTACAGTATAGGTCACTATCATGACCCCGATTCTACCTTACAAATCCAGCTAGACCAGAGCATGTACACAGATACAGATAAGAGCTGGAAACACAGGGAATCCAGGACAGATAAACTCCTCAGGGTCAATAGTGAGAGTAGCAATACTAGGAGGGGAAGGAGAAGGTGGAGGAAGTAAGGGGGAACCGATCACAATGATCAACATATAACCATGCCCCACACCCCCAAGGGGGACGAGCAACAGAAATGTGGGTGAAGGGAGACAGCAGTCGGTGTAAGATATCAAAATAATGATGATTTACAAATTATCAAGGGTTCATGTGGGAGGGAGGGTGGAAGAGAGAGGGGGGGAAATGAGGAGCTGATACCAAAGGCTCAAGTGGAAAGAAAATGTTTTGAAAAGGATGATGGCAACAAATGTCCTTGACATCATGGAGGTATGGATTGTGATAAGAGCTGTAAGAGCCCCCAATAAAATGATTAAAAGAGAGAGAAAGAAATGAAAAATCCTAGGCCATAAGAACTGGAAGTATGAGGGTGAGGCAGTAGCGACACTGCTTGCCAAGATGGGAGAGCCTGAGAGACTGGGAGAGGAAAGTATTTACGGGAGGATGATAGAGTGTATTCAGGTGGCTGAGAAGCAGTTTGATAGCTCAAGTTGCTGGGGGAAGTATGGACTGGAGGTAAAATGCTGGAAGCCGCTAGTGTAGAGATAGTTGCTTAACGCCCTTCGGTTAATTTTTGATCTGTGCATGGTTGAAAAGATGAACACTTTCAGCTGCTAGCCCAAATTTGGGTTGTGTGAGTCAACCAGAAGCACCTGTGAGGCAAGGCCTGTTCATCTACTTCTACGACAATCAGTGACTGCCATTCGTTCAAGGGAGCATTCCCTGACCCTCATGGGCTTCAAGACTGGTTTCAAGACTGCTGGAGACCACCAAGGTTGTTGGCATAGATCCCCAAGAGAAGAGCTCCAGGGACTGAGATGATGATGTTAAATGACTATAAAAAAGCCTTCAAGTACATCTTATTTCACTGATCTCTAAAAAAATTGTTCTAATATTAGGGAATATTCTGGCATCCTTTTATGAAAAACAGCCCTCTGAAAATAATTGGAATATTTCTTCTTGAAGGCAAGAATTAGATAACCCCAGAAAAGCAGTTTTTATATAAGTGAGTTTTTATATAAAGGATTAGTTGGATCTCATTCTGCAAAGAAAGGATGCTATCCGTCAATAACTAAACCTGAGAATCTTCATTCTGCCCTGCCATTTCAAAGAATAAATTCTTTTTCATTGCTGAAATCACCTGATTTCTCAGTAATCTGAGCTACAAGTTCAAAAATGTGAGAAAGCAAAGCCTTGTTTTAAGAGAAACCATAAGTAATAAGCAGTAACACTCATTCAGAATGTATTGAATAGCAATGCTCCTTTATTGAATTAGGAACCAGTACAATGCTCATTAGTGAGAAAAAGAATCCCAGGTTTAAAGACGTTCAGTCAGTTGCCACACAGTTGGAAATTGCCAGAGTCAAAGTTTGAACACACGTTTATCTAATTCCAGAGTCTGAAGATTGATATGAATTGAGTCATGTTGGTGGTTTAATCATTGATTTTTCATAGCCATTAGGTTTGGCTGTTCAGAATACGCTTCTTCGTTTCTACATTTTTCAAATTCTCTATAATGATAACATATCATGTTGGTAACAGCAAAATACACTTACCAGCAAAGTTAACCAGGAAATCAATTCCATGCAGCTATTGTGAAGTGTGGCGCTCAGGCTCTCA